GCTTTGCAGAACCCCCCTAAAATCAGCAAATTCGGAGTTTTCTTGGCAGGATCTTAGGACATGTGTGCTCAAAAAAACAAAAACAAAAAACAAAACAACAAAATAAAATAAAATTATTACAGGATGGGGACAGGGAGAAAGGAAAAACCTAATTCAAAGTCATGACAACAGCACACCCCTGGAGAGAACGCTGAACACACAGCCAAAAATAAGCTCCAGTGGGTGAGAGAGGAAATAATAGAATTGTGTCTTGATGTGGCTCTGAGTGAGAGCTCCTAGAAGGAAATAGGAGAGGCAGAAGATCCTGTGTTATCTATCAACTCAATTGATTGTTGTATCCAGAGCTTGGCTCAGTAATAAATGAGAATGCCACTCATCTGGTTTTCTGGTCTATTTAGAATATTTTTAGAACTCTTTTTGAAATATATTCTGATTAATCTCTTGAATTTTCCTTTGCTCACTGAGACTTATAGCAACATCAGATTTAATTATACTGTGACTGAGAGGGATGTAATGAAGGCAGATACAAATCCTTGTGACAGCTGAGAGTGGCAGTGAGAGTATTTATCCATCTAGGAACCCAAGTGACAAGGGCTGCATTTGAGCCTGAGCCTTTTGCAAACAAAAAAAAGAAAAAAAATGAAAGGGATTTAGCTGCCAGCAGGGGCAAAGCAGAGGGACTGAGGTGGTGGGAGAGCCCTGCAGGGGTGTGATGGCACAACCAACCACCAGGATTGAGGCTGTTTGCCAGAACCCTGACAACCCCAGAACTCAGGTTTCCAAATCCCAGCCCGGGGCTGAAGGTTGGAAAAGACCTCCAGGATCACCAGATGCCTGAGAAGATAAAACCTCCCCTGCCCACATCCACCCCAGCAGTCAGTCTCCTGCCCATGTCTCTGCAGGTAAGTGGCTCCTGATGGTCCCCTCAGAGCATCTCTGGAGTGCCCTGAAGCCACAAGGAAGGAGATAAATATTCCTTAAGCAGCACCTGCTCGATTGAATAATTTCCCAGGAAAGGAGGCCACTCACCAGTAACTCATTCCCAAGCCTTTGTTAGCACAAACAAGGCTGTGAGGAGTAAGCACAGATTTCCCTGCTCCTCGCTGTTTATCAGCTGGGATTTCTATTAAGAGGTACCAGAGCTCTCCTCTCTCTCACTCTCTCTCTCTCACTTCCCCACTTCTCAGCTCTGCAGCGTAATCTTGTCACGTTGGGGACATTTATAGCTGTTTTCTTGGCTTGTAGTCTAAAGAGAAAACAACAAACCAGCTTTTCCTTCAGGAGGGGGGAGCTGGAGCCTGGGCAGGAGGCACAGAGCTCTTGCTCAGCATTTCTCCCTCAGGTCTGCAAGTGTCAGAGCCTCCCACCCAGTGCTGAGTGGTGGAGAAGGAGAAGGTCAGACCCTTCAGTGCCATGAGGTGGCTGCATCCATCTGGTGAGGATTTCTAGGAAGTGCTTTTTGTGCCTGGGATACAGGATTCTCCTTCTCTGTAACTTCCAGATTTATTCCTAGATAGAATATATACTATATAAATAAAATATTCCTATATAATTACACACACATATATATATATAAAATTTATTCCTATGTATAATATATACTACAGAATCACAGAATGGTTTGAGATGGAAGGGACCTTAAATACCATCCCATTCCACCCCCTGCCATGGGCAGGGACACCTTCCACAAGCCCAGGTTGCTCCAAGCCTCATCCAACCTGGCCTTGGACACTTCCAGGCATGGGGAGTCCCCAGATCCCATTTGCAGATCCAGGGAAGGGGCATTAGAAAGAAGAACTGAAGTAGGAAGGCAGCAGAGTATTTTTCACTGCTATTTTCAGTCAAAGACTGAGGTCTAAGCCTTGTCCTCCCCAGAGACTGAGCCTGACCTTAAGCCAATCACTTTTTCACGCTCTAAACAAGGTTTGATTATGTTGATGGCTCCAAGTCTCAGTGTGATAAATGTTCTGTGAGAGCACAGCATTAATATAACTTTTAATCACACACAGACACGGGTGCTTTGCTGCAACCTTTAGAGAAGCAGCACATCCCTCCTTTTCCAGCATCCTTTGGGAAGGAAACCTGTTCCCACCACTCTCACCCCAGGTAAAGACCAGCCAAATGCTGCTCAGGGTGAGGGAATACAAATATATGAGTGCTGTGATGCCTGGAATCAGTTTAAATGGACACATATTAATTACAGGAAAAACAATATATATCTGCCACAAAGCCAGAGCTCTTTGGTGAGAAAGTCTGGGATGAAATAGGGAAGCACAAATCAAGGGTGGTGGGGAAGGACACAGAGCAAATATAACTGATATTCTCATCTCTCAGGCAAAGCGATGCAGTGTTTTGTTTTTTAAAGAGTTTATAAACTTGCAGGGCCAGGCCCTCTTTTGGTGTAGATTGACACTGATTTACATCAGCTGTGATTCTGGGCTGGGGTTTTGTAGCTTATTAAGAGGCTTCTGTGGACTGTTACCACCAGCACGAAGCAGGAATATCCAGCTCCTGGTCTACATATCTTGAAAGCCATTCCTCACCCGAGGCTGTGTTGATAAAACTGATTAGCAAAGGTGGGGGGGGAGGCAGGCAGGGAGAAATGTGTGAAAAGGGCAGTACATCAAGCTGAAATTCCGCAGAAACGCTGAGTTCACAGAACACATCAGGAGTTATTAACCTTTGCATGAAAACTGCACTGCACAGTGGTAGGAAATTTGTCTGAGTTGAACTTCAGCATCTCTCTGACGCTGTCTGGAAATGCTGCAGCAGCTCTGAGAGGCTGATTTTTTTTTTGCTCTGACTTGACAGTTTCAGCCAACTATTTCAAAGCACCTTTGCCTCAGTGGATTTATCTGTGCAACGACTCTGGTTAAATCTTTACCAGGCGAGGTGTTGCAGGGGAAATTCTCTGCGCAGCAAAGACTGCAGGAGATGTTTCCAGTGTGTAAATTGATGCTTAAATCAGGGGCTGTTTGCTTACTGTGTGGATGGAATATCTGGAGGCACTAAAAGAGCATCTCGCCTCTGCTTTCTCATTAGCATCAGTCAGTGATGTCACAGCCCTGAAAATAAACATGACATGGTCAGAGCAGGGTGTTCCTGCACCCACGAGGGAAATCATCAGCTCTGAGAACCTCACAGTAAAAAACCTGAGTGCTGGAGTTAGTTATTGATGCTCTTCTGTCCTTTCAAAAAGCAGTTCATACATCAGCTCTGTCGAGGTAAAAGCAGAACTCAATCTGCTCCTTTGAGCCACGGAAAGTTTGCACCCTTTTGAAATGGTTTGGCTTTGGATGGCTTTGAACAGGATGGTGTTGCTTTTCCCCCCCAAAAAAAATTGTTGGTACCCTTCCTGCCCTTCTCCCTGGATCTGCATTCTTTAGTTCAGTTTAAAA